GTCGGAGAAATTTGCGTCGGAATGTAAAATTTTGAAGATTAAAAAAAATATTATATTTATGACATTTTTAAAAACAAATAAAATTTTTACAATCAACCCTATATATTCACAGGGAATTGTAGGGAATTTATTGTAGTTTCAGAATATGTACTAATATTGTATTCAATTTAATTGACAATCACCAAAAACAGCTGTTGTTGTAGTCAGACGACCAAAACTTTCCACCGCCAAAATTTATTTTGAACTCTCTAGTTTTTCAAACTACCGTTTCTCGCTACATAATACTCACTCAATAATGTTTTATGCATGAAAATGAATTCTCAGAATCTCATCTTTCTAATGGTATAAGATTTATTGTGTTTTAAAACTGTTTTCATATTTAAATAATAGAAAAACCCGACCCATGTCATCTTGGTCTATAATCGACCAGCGCCACTGAGAACTCACGTTTTCGTGGTCGAAAATCGACCAGCGCCAGATAGAGGGAAATCTTTCTATATGCAGTTTATTTTATTCATTTATAGACAAACCAACCACAAGTAGGCCTAGACTTCTCATTCCATTAAAAATTTTAAAGCTGGGTTTTCGAGTTTAGTTTATGTCCGATGAAATCTCGTTTCTATTATTTTAAGGGTTAATTTCATGATTTGTGATTTACTGCTTGGTTATATAACTAGGGACGACTTATTGTTTATTATTGAATTGAGAAGAAACAAATTTAAAAAAAAAAACACGACCACTACAGTTCAACGGACAGAACAAACAATAGAATTGGCTTCAGCTGTTCCATAAGGTTGAGAAATCTACTAAGGAAGTACGTTTTGACATTGGCTTATTATATAACATTCTAAAATTACATTAGTTTTTAATTTGTTTAATTGACAAAAATATAAGCGAAGCACTTTTCAAATATTGTTAATCGTTCTAAACATGACATTCTAATGCCTAACGTTAGTTTTGTGGGTACGATGTTCGGACACCTTATTTTACATAATTTAAACCTTTTAAATTACAAGACAAAACAACTGAGAACCGAACTAACCTCAAACTGTTGTAATGAATAGTGAGGGAGGACAAAAGTAGGAATTTATATATATAAATCCCAAAGTACCCATGAACTTTTGAGAAAACTACAAGTCACACCCCCATAAACCATTTAATTAAAATGTTCTTCATGACGAGACACCATGCACAAAACTACCCATTATTTCATAAATTGCCCTTTAAGGTCATAATTCTTTTCTAAAGGTAACTTTCAATATGTTTTAAATACCTCAGCTGTACTTATTTGTATGTTATTCTTTTAATTTTACCTTATTAAAATCAGGTGTAATTATTTTTTGTATTAACTGTATTCTATTTTGTATATTACGACTTAACTTAACCAATCAATAGTTTTATAATACTTAAGAAGTCAAACGGGTTGAAGCCCGTGAGTAACAGCTTTTAACAGTAACAGCTTCTGTATCCAATCCAATAGTCAATGGTAACAGCTAGTTGTATGAGTAGTTGTATGACCAGTAACTAGCTGGTCCATAAGTATGAGAAATCTACTAAGGGAGTATGTTTTGTCATTGGCTTATTATTTTACATTTTAAAATTACATTAGTTTTGATTTGTGTGATTAACAGAAATATAAGCGAAACACTTTTCAAATATTGTTAATCATTCTAAACATGACAGCCTAATGGGACGTTAGTTTTGTGGGTTCGATGTTGGCACACCTTATTTTACATCATTTAAACATTTTAAATCACAAGACGAAACAACTGAAAACAGAACTAACCTTGAATTGTTGTAATGAATAGTGAGGGAGGCATACTTTTGTAATACAAATTAATTGTACTTTGATTGGATTAATCCATATATACGTGTTTGGTGTAAACAGGTCAGGGTGGCTGTCGTATGCTAAAAAATAAACCCTATGTTAAATATCCGTAAGACAATTTTAATATCCATTTTTTGACCCAATTAACATAAATATTTTCAAAATACAAATAAAACCTGCACATATAGGACCGATAACCTTTCTTTCGGTACGACCCACCCACGTGTAGTTCGGTCCAGTAGTATGGTGATAATCTTTAAATTTTGGCCCCATGTTAAATCTCCTTAAGAGAAGTTAAGAAAATCATTTTTATATTGGTTCCTAGAGGTTACCCCGTGGCCGAAAATATATTATGTACAAACTTCTCTATTTTCTCCCCAACGCTATAAATAAAACATATGATTAGAATTTGTTTATATTTTCTGTTTATATTTTAGCATGGCAACCCATAAGGCCCATGTTAATTTTTTTATAGTTTCAAACTAATTTTTGGTGCTTATTTTTTAGCCTTGCTTAATTTATAAAGGGATTCTGCACATCTACATGAAAATATCTTTCATTTGGTACCAACCACGTGTAGTTTGGTCCATTAGTATAGTCAGGCTAGCTGTCGTAAGTTTTGAAACAGTTTTTTTTTTAATTTTTTTTATATGTATAAGATTATTGAATTATTGGAATAAAACACATTATTCGAGATTATTTTATGAAATTATGCTCATGCAGAAGTTTTACTTATTTAGTTAACTACCACTAACTAAATCACACCCATTCTGTAATCAAAATAATTTAATTATAAAATATTCCCGTTTATGATATTGTTTTACGACCAAACCTAATTAACTACAAACGAAAATTAAAATCAATTGACAGCTGAAACATAGACCATAATGCTATGATTGTTTGTTTATATTTGATCTGGTTACGTATTTGTTTATCATTACGATTCCTTCCTTTTCTGCTTACAATTTCCGCTTGAATACAATGTTGTAAGCTTCTGTTCTATTCAGATGGTTTAATCTGAAAATCTGAAATTATAAAATGTCTGTTTACGATATTGTTTTGACGGTTAAACACAATTAACCACAACCGAGCAAGGGTGATAAACATATTACATAAAATTAATTGTCAAGTCTTTAACAACAAGTCCGAAAGAACAGAGACTGGTGGCCGTGATGCGAACTACTAGCCAACATCGGAAAAGCAGAATGCAGATTTTAGTTTATCTCATACATAGCGTCAGCTGTACAATTGTATATTTTTGTAAAGTACTGAATAATCATAAATATGCAATAAATCTTTAATTGTCTTCAACACGTACAGTGGAAGACAGTTAGTTTTTTAGTATTGCCATACCTGCCCATGTTTGACCAATAAGTCAAGTGTTCGTTTTATAAATAGTGTTCAGGACGATTAACACTATTTTATTCGCAATATTAGAAAATGTAAAATAAGTCACATAACAGTGGAGTAGTTTGAATAAACTGCCGCCAAGAATCCTATATTTTTTGCTTCCCTTCAATAGTCGATAGGATCCCATAATATTTTTATCAAGTCAATAAGAATAAAGTAGTCCAGTAGAGCTAGTTCGCCCGGGCCCCGATAGGGTGTAAACGGTTCACTTATTTGCCGTTAGAGTTCGCTTACATCGTTATTCTCTTTGTCATTCGTTTGATTATTCATTTTTCAATTGTTATTGACTAAACTAACTTTAATACGGATTTGATTATCGTAACTAGAGATAAAAGGAAAAAATAGAATTTAAAATTGACATATAAGTGATTTTATGTCCAGGCAGTTTCCCAAATTGGCTCCGTTTCCGCTAGACTCTCGCACTGAATCTAGCGTAGCTGCTATAAGACATCCCGATTTGAATTTTCAACCAACAGTATATTAGATATAACAATATAACATTTAATATTTGAAAAGCCGAAAGTCGGTACCCTCGCTAGGAGACTGGAGTCTAAACCTTCGCTAAATCATCACGATGTTGTCCCCTGGCGCTGCGGAGTGGGGGAAATGATTCTCCCTCCACCTCCCCTCTAGACGGCGTCCAAACAAGCCCGCGTTGTTTTACATGCATAAACCTATAAAATGAATATTTATAAAATTAAACTGTTATAAACTAACCTAACCAACTTTTTATTAACAATTTTATATTTTTTTAACAATTTTATATAACATGCTGATTATATAAAAAAAATATATATAAAATAATAATCGAATGAAGGTTTACTAATCGAAAAAATAGTTCTGTTCATAAAATAAAATTATAAATGCCTTGAATTCAATTTTAGAATTTATTAATTATAAAATTAAACTGTCATAACCTAACCAAACCAACCAAACTTGCTGATAATGAAAAATCTAACAAGGTTTACTAATAGAAAAAAAATAGTTCTAAAATTATAATAGCTCAAATTGAATTTTTTATTGTTTTAATTAACAAATTAAACTGTCATAACCTAACCAAACTAACCAAACTTGCTGATAATGCAAAAATCTTAGACAAAAAGTTAGTGCTACCGAGAAGATACGAACCTGGTACCTTCTGATCCTCAGACCAGCACGTTATCCATTAGACCACCGAGGCCGGTGTCTAGAAACCGTATCGTTGCGGTAATGGTGTTCCCTCAGCCAATAGAATGCTTTGCTTCCCCCACTCCGCAGTGCCAGGGGACAACATCGTGATGATTTAGCGAAGGTTTAGACTCTAGTCGCTAGGAGGGTTCGATGATTGGCTTATAGTTTTAACTAGATAACACGTTGCTCGAAATCGAGCAAAACTGAAACTTGTATGTAGAAAATAAACAAAAAAACATAAACAGCCAACACTGTGCTCAAAGTACCGTACAGTGCTTTAGTGACCTTAATCAAAGAGTCGCTCTAAAATAATTTATATGACTGATTATAAAAATATATATTATGATGTAAAAAATATAAAAGTAATCTACAATATTTAAATTTACATTCACTCTCATACTGCTTTGGTTATCTCTTATGTATAGTAGGCGGGTGCACTCTATGAACATGTAGATGTCAACCACACTGTAAAGTGAGCTTCTGACCTAATGTAGCTCAATTCCTCTCTTGACGCCAACCATCGCTACTCTTATTCTAGCATTATTAAATTATTTCTTTGATATTGATGTGTTCTGTTTTAGGTGTGTATAAATTAGGGTTCCCAACCCAAGTCTCCGGTCGGGAACATAAGAGGGTAAGCAAGTGGATCTAACGACAGATCTAGAATGGATACGCGTTTAACATTATTAGTGTTGGAAAAAACTATACGATTGCTTTGTTTTCAGCTTTAAAAATTGATGCGACATCTACACAGGTAGCACCATTGTAGCGAGGAAGACACTTCTTCTGTCTCTTATTATGTACATAAGAATCTCACTTGACACCAATGACATCTCGGAGCTCTCGTCCCTACATAATATCTGCCACAGTCTTCAAAGATTTGCAAATTGGTTGGCATTGTGACCCTATTTCCCGCATATTTTTTCATTGCATTTTTTGTTTGAACTGTGCTTAATTCTCTTTTGGGTTCTAGTGACATTGTTGTACTTACTTTTGTACCTGTATAATTTCTGGATATAGGCCTAAGTCTCACAGTCCTATTTTCAGATTAGGATTTTCCAATAAGAACCTGAAGGTACAGTATTGTGAATTGCACAAATGAGGTAAACGAACCTTTCATTTATGACAACAAAGAGTAAAAACTTAACTGTCTCGGCCAGTCTTTTCTCGCTTAAAAATATGTAAGCTACTACAATGTAAACATTTAACTGTCATTTGTCCGAGATTGGACTATCACAACGGTGGTACTACCACTATGTACCCATCAAATGTTCAATTGAGAGGTTGATGCAAGCGGTCATGTTCGCGTTCCCTCCAGCCACTCACAGTTCTTCGTACTGGCGGCATTTGATTTTAAATTGAAATGAAATAAGGAAGTTAACCAAACAACAGAAAACACTATAAAGGAATTGGAATTTTAAAATACACATTAATTACATACTTACATTAACTACATCGAACTATAACATGATAATCAGTAAAATACGATGTAAGGTAAATCAATTTAACCATAGACAAAAAGAATAAAATATTTATTAAATATTTATTCTTAAACTCTTTATTATGAACCAGAACCAGACTAAGTTACAGATTGAAACAAAATATGGAAGTTTTAAGTCCCTGTGGTTAACCTTAAAAACTATTTCAAACTACGTCCATATGTTATTTGTAAACAAAAGGAAATGAGTTTGATCAAATGTCAACAGATAGCGCCGCCTTCTAAACTTTAGCCCTTAAGTGTACTTAAGTGGTGCTCTTTCTTAATATTCTGAGACGTATTTGCACATCTACGTGGAAATACCTTTAATTTGACACCTCAAACGTTAAAATCCGTCAAGCCGTTATCGAGTTATGACTGTGAAAAGAAAACTGCTTGCGTATTAATATATAGATCCTTAGAAATCATTCTATCTGTTCAGTTTATTCATAGTCGAACCAACCACAAGGTCCACAAGTAGACTTACGGAAATAAGTAAATAAAGATACGTGTTATAACACTTAAAATACTTAGTAGACTTACTACTTAAGTACCGGTAAACATCTCATCCCATTGTAAATTTTGAAGCTTGTTTTATTGTTTAGTTCATGTCCGATGACACTGGGTGCTAGAGTCATCAATGGCATTTCGTTTCTATTATTTTAGGGTTAATGCCATGATTTGTGATTTACTGCTTGGTTATATAACTAGGATACGAGTTATTGTTTATTATTTGAATTGACAATAAACGAATTGAAAAAAAAACACGACCCTTACAGTGCACCGGACAGAACTAACAATAAAATTGGCTTCAGCTATTCCTTAAGGATGAGAAATATACTAAGGGAGTATGTTTTGACATTGGCTTAAAATTACATTAGTTTTTATTTGTGTCATTAACAAAAATATAAGCGAAGCACTTATCAAATATTGTTAAATCATTCTAAACATGACAGCCTAATGGGAAGTTTTGTCGGTACGATGTTCGCACACCTTATTTTACATTATTTAAAAATTTTAAATCACAAGACGAAACAACTGAAACTAAACTAACTACTACCATATAAGTATTAATTGGTGTTACAATATTTTCAGTACAGACCCGTGGTGTGCGAAATTAAAATTAAATACAACAATATTATTAGCATCAAATATTATGTTCTTCGTTTGAAGTTCATTGTTGGTGATGACACAGATAACATACTACTACATTAGTACATTTTCTGTGGTGATGGTGAGTTAATGTTGTTCAAAGGTTTATTGTGGACATTTCCCATTACGATGGTAATAAGCAATACACAACGTTTTTTAATCTGGAATCAAAACCCGTTCTCAGGTGAAAAAAACTTAACTAACACAATAAAACTAACAATACACAAACGACCAACCTAAGTTGGAATACACTACAGAGGGAAGCAATCGAAATATACAAAATTAAACAAACAAAATTAAAAAACAAAAATAAAATAGGGTTTGTGTATTGTTAGTTGTAATGTGTTAGGTTTGTTCACCTGAGGACGGGATCAGATTCCAGATCCCGAAACGTTGTGTATTGTTTTTTGCCATCGTGATGGAAAATGTCCGCAATAAACCTTTGAACAACAAACATTATATTCTTACAAATTTAAGTTAGGAAATTTTTGTCAATTCAATAATACATTTTTGCGATATTTTATGGATTTTAACATTTTATGAACTGAACATTGCAGAGTTTACTTACAAATAAGTAACCTACGTGGCAGTAGCATTAAGTCAAAGGCCTAATCACGAAATTCCGTTACGTGGTTTACATTAATAATGACAATAAAAATAGAATAATGGTCGAACATATTATCAATTATCCATTATACTGATACACGTATTACATCAAATTGATTCAAGTTTGATCAAGTCTTTTGAAACAAGTCCGAAAGAACAGAGACTGGGGGCCATGATGCGAACTACCAGCCGACATCGGTAAAGCAGAATGCGGATTTTAGTTTATCTCATAGATAGCGTCAGCTGTACCATTGTATATTTTGTAAAGAACTGAATAAGCATACTGAATACGTCTTTTAGCGAATTTCCCTATAGGGAAGTAGCTATTACCGTAGGTCTCATGGTAAGACCTGGGCGCGGGACCGATTTACTTTTTCATTTTGATGTCCCCAGAGGCCAAAAACACTAATCGTTCAAATTCATATATATATATATATATATATATATATATATATATATATATATATATATATTTATTTATATATATATATATATATATATATATATATATATATAGGTATGTGTCGGTTATATAAATATATATATATATTTAGGAAAACTGTAGTGATTAGGGCTACTATTTTGATATGTAAATGCATTATTAAAACTAAGTACCCTTTTTTTAAATTCATTTTATTTAACAACGACTAGTTTCGACGATTATGTCATAGATATAAAATACGATATTGTATTTGTTAGATATAAAAACAACATGACTATGACATAATCGTCGAAACTAGTCGTTGTTAAATAAAATGAATAAAAAAAAAGGGTACTTAGTTTTAATAATGCATTTACATATATATATTTATATATGTGTCCGTTAGCGCGATAACTCGAGCAAAAATGATCCGATTTCGATGAAATTTGGTATAAACGTGTAAACCTACGTTTATTCGAACGAGTTCGCGAACCAGCATGATCGGACTATGGGAACGGGGGTTTACGGGGGGTATTATGGCGTAAAAATGGGGTTTTCCCATTTTTGACCCTAAAAATAAAAAATTTTGCAATTTCTTTTTAAACCGTTTTGTAGAGCTTAAAAAATAAATAATTTAGTATATTGAAGCGCTGTTGTATGCCTAACGGTCACGGAGAAAATTAAAAAATAGTGTAATTTAAAATTCCCATGTTATTCTTATGGAGAAAATGAAAATTGTTGTAGTTTACTTGTTTATGGATATATATTGATAAAATTTGGCAAATTTATTTATTTCATCCTATACTATTGACATATAGTCAAAAAACACTTTTTACCTTTCCCGTAGCAGCAAACCTAAGGACTCGTTAAATCTAATTTTATTTAAATAGGGGATAAAAATATGTCTTATTTATGGAAATATTTGAGCAAAAATGTAATAAGACGAGTTGAAATTCGCTTAGTCTGCAGGTTTGCTGCGGCGGGGGTATTTAATGTTGTCTTTGTCACACAAGTAATACTTTTTCTCTCGTGAAACACAAATTATAAGATAATGTATTAGTTTATTACGATAGATTTGATGTTTTTTTTTTAATTTTTTATTTTACTTTTATTTTCAAATTTATTTCTAAATACATAGCATGTAGGCTAATCGAGTCTTTCATTATAGCAATCGTAAGTTTAATGTTATGGTTAATTACTAGATGTATTTATTTTTACACATTATCCCTACTGGTAGTTTTTTTTTTTTAATATTTGTAGTAAGCATAAATATAGCTGATTCATCGATTTATCTGCACCATGTTTGACCAATAATTCACGTGTTCGTTTTATAAATGATGTTCAGGACAATTATCACTATTTCATTGTGTAAAATAAGTTATATCACAGTGGAGAGATCTGAATTAACTGCCGCCAAGAATCCTTCATTTTTGCTTCCTTCAATAGTTTAAGGATCTAATCTTTTCATCAAACTTGCATCGAAGTCGATAAAGTAGTCCAGTGGAGCTAGTTCGCCAAGTCCCCGATAGGTTGTCAACAGTTCAGTTATTTGCCAATAGAGTTCGCTTACATCGTTATTCTCTTTGTCATTCATTTGATTATTCATTTTTCAAATGTTATTGACTAAACAAACTTTAATACGGATTTGATTATCGTACCTAGAGATAAAAGGTAAAACTAGAATTTAAAATTGACATATAAGTGATTTTATGTCCAGCCAGTTTCCCAAATTGGCTCCGTTTCCGCTAGACTCTCGCACTGATTCTAGCGTAGCTGCTATACGACATCCCGATTTGGATTGTCACACAACAGTTGCAGTAGTTGATATGACATAATAATATACTCTTTATTCTTTGAAAAGCCGAAACTCGGTACCCTCACTAGGAGGGTTCGATGATTGGCTTATAATCCTTGATTATGACTTATGTCACCTGAAGATACCTGGCCAACTAAATGTAACTAACAGTATATACAGTAGTATAGTATATTTATAAATAATGGTAT